AGTCACGGTGTCAAGTTGCGTGTCAACAAGTCACGTGCCAACAAGTCACGGTGTCAACAAGTCACGTGTCAACAAGTCACGTGTCAACAAGTCACAGTGTCAACAAGTCACAGTGTCAACAAGTCACATGTCAACAAGTCACGTGTCAACAAGTCACGGTGTCAACAAGTCACGGTGTCAACAAGTCACATGTCAACAAGTCATGGTGTCAAGTCACGTGTCAACAAGTCATGGTGTCAAGTCACGTGTCAACAAGTCACGTGTCAACACATTTTTCTGTCATACTTTTCCTACGGTTCAATTAATTTTAGTCTGCCCTTCAGAGGCAGGACGTATTATGGTATAGTTTGAGTCCATAAACTTTCTCTGGTCCTGCCCATACCTTCTGGTCCACTCAAGATAATTTAACAAGACACATCTGTACACATCTGCATCATCACTAGATGGATTGTTGCTCAGAGTCTACAGTAGCCGAGGTGGATTTCACCTGAACGTCTGTGCTCGTTAAAGAAAGATACGACCGATTCGTTGAGCATTTATCCAGAGGATAAGTCAGTCAGTCATAGATTGTCTACCAGAGGAGCTACAACTGTCTTGAGTTTTCAAGGTTACACTATTTTAAAACAAATGTTTGCAGCAAGCTATAAGAGTTATCATGATAGCAGGTGCAATATTTAAATTAAATTCAGTTTATTTATAAAGCACCAAGTCACAACAGACGTCGTCTCAGGGACTGAACAAACTATTTACAGCATACTGCTGGCTTGAGCTAATTAATAACCTGCTAATTAATTTTTAACGTTTCTTTACACAAACAGAAAGCAGCTAAGACTTTACAGGTATCATTACTTTAGAGTTATAAATAAATATAAATAGAAGAACTTGAGACTACAGTTAAATAAGTTTAACTTTATTCTCAAATGTTATGAAATTGAAAGTTCAGCCTCGATCCTGAATATCAAAAATAATAATGTTGTAAACAAAACCGCTGATCACAAATTGGTTTAAAATCTGCCCTGACTTGTTTACATATACGATTTAAAGTTAAAATGATTATTAAAGAAAAATTATATATATATAATTCTTTTGTTATTCTTCTAAATATTAATAGACAATTTTCAATATTATTTAGGCAGAAAAAGCAGTGCTGGTTACATTTGTGTTTTTTAATAAAAGCGACTCTTATGATGTATTAAATTTGTCGTACTTTCAGTGCCGTCGGCCTCGGCCTGCTCTTCTCGTTGTTTCTTCTTGAACTTCATGTTGCCGAAGTGCATGATGGCTCCAACCAGTTTATAGCAGCCATACTTCTCCTCAGGAGTGAAGCCCAGTGTGTCCATGGCGCGCTGCACACAGAGTGGGAGGAGTTTGTGTCTTAAAGTGCCAAGGGGAGGAGTTTATTCAAGTACAGAGGGAGGAGTTTGTTAGAGTGCAGATGGGAGGAGTTTGATGATCCTTAAACTTTATGACAATCACTTCCTGTGGGTAAAAATAAGTCTAAAAATAAGCCATACCTGCTGAAAAATACTATTATTCTTGTCTGACATAAACTAGATAATAATAATAATAATAAAAAAAAAAATAATAATAATGTCATCACAATGTCAGCACTGTATGTTTCCATACAATGGCGAAATTAGTCTCTGCATTTAACCCATCCACCACCAGGTGGTGCAGTGGGCAGCTACTGAAGGCGCCCGGGCCATTTTGGGGATGAGGTGTGCTGCCCAGAGACACCACCAGGTGTGCAGTGACCGGGGATCGAACCTGGGACTTTTGGGTCCTGGGCCGGCTGCACCGCCTTTACACCATCTAGTTGAAATGTGTCTCGATCTTTAAATATGAAAAATAATAAAACATTTAAATGACTAAAAATAAATAATAATTTAGCATTTTAACAGCGTACAGTTTTACAGAACTCTGCAATTCAGTTTTAAAACATTAACTTTTTTATTGCATTTTGGGGCATATGGACTTTTTGACTTAAAAAAAACTGATGTTTTAAGAAGTCCCTCTAAGGTTCAAGGTGACTTTCTTTTCATTCACATCACATGTGGTACATGAGGTGGAACAAAACAGAAAATTAAAGCCCCCTGGCAACCCTGAGATATGAAAATAGAGCAACACGTAGTGAGCGAATATAAAAATCTAAAGTATTGGGATTGACGTACAAAAAATAAACTGAGCGTTCTGAGTATGATTTAAAGGATTAAATACATTTAGAATGGGTTTTAATGGGTCCATTTTTCCTTTAAGGATTAATAGTGACAGAGTTCATGATATCGTTTTAACACAAAGTTAAAGAAGTTTAAAAAGAGTTTTAGAACTGGTCAGGTGTTTGAAAAAACAACAACATTTTCAATAAAAATATGAACAAAAATGCATAGTTGATTTTTTTCCCCTCTTAAGACTTTCTGAAGGTTAAAGTTCAGAGTTGTTTTAAGAGTCAGTGGGAGGAGCTTGTCTTACGTCGGTGAGGTTTAGCTCCTCCCCGTCGTTGATGCCCTCCACGGTGGTCACGCCCTGAGAGCAGAAGTGGTAGTCGTAGGGGTTGGTGGTGACCAGCAGCATGTCTGCAACACAAATGATAAAATCACGCTAAAAACAAATCTGTGGATGTTTTAGTGACTCGGATCTAAACCGACAGCACCACAGAGGAACTTCGTTTTTTAAAATAACACAACTTTTTATCCACAATGCCACGCAACTGTGAGACGAAGATGATCCACCTTGGTTTTAGCATTGCACAGACTAGCCAGAAGCTCATCAGTCCTGTCAAAACTAGTCTTATTTCATCCCTCATGTTAATTTAATGAGCTTTCTTCTGTTTCTTGGCACAGGAAGTGGAAGATTGTTCAGTTTTGAACAGTTTGTGGTCAACAAACCAACAGGAAGCAGCATCTGATCCGTGTTTGTGACTTAATCGTTGGGCTGTTGGATTATAAACGGAGAATTTTGTGATTATATTTTGACCCCAGGCTGGATTATCTTGTGTGGTTGTGTATTCATAATCAGATTATGGTGTCGGTGCAGTTACCTTGTAGTTCTGGTTTGTGATTGGACAAAATCTGGTAATAGATGTGGTAACTTCTCTCTCCCGGCTGCTGGAACACAACTCTGGACTTTTCCAGAAGATCTGATGAAAACAAACACAAGAACCTTCTTTTGTGAGCAGCAACCCTCTGAGGCGACTGCAGAACCTCCTGATGTTCTCAACGTTAACACGTGAGCAAACGCTCAACCAGCTGACAAGTCCTGGACAAAGACATCTTGGACGAAGCTGGGCTTTCTCTCCAGAGCCCAAGTGTTCAGTTTCTACCACCACGGTTCTGATGATACTTTAAAGTAATAGAATAAAACTTGATTTGTCCCTCAGCAGGGACGTTCACATCAATGCCAGGCCAAAGGTACTGATCAAAAGATGAAGGAAATAAAGTAATTTAAAAACTCACAGATGTCGACGTCGGCAGACGCCAGCTTCCCCGTCGGCCCAAAATGAATTCTGATGAATTTTCCCTGAGATCAATCAACACAAACCTCCATCTTTATAGAACTTCTCCTCGGCTCCAGCGTCAAATATTAGCTGAACTTCAGTGAACTCACGAAGCGAGAGGAGTTGTCGTTTCGAATGGTTTTGGCGTTGCCAAACGCCTCCATGGCTGGATTGGCTTCGATGATCTGATCCTCCAAAGATCCCTGAGAACACAGGCAGAACACAACAAACAGACTTCCTGTCAGGGCCGGACGTTTTCTTATTCTGAAAACAACTCGTTAAAGACTAAACAACTTACTGCTTTTTTCACATTGTCCCCCAAAGCAGCAATGATGGCAAAGTACTGGATCACCCGCTTGGTGTTGACGGTTTTACCCGCCCCCGACTCCCCCCTGATCACACCACAAGAAAACATTCAGAGTTAAACAACTCGCGTGCATCGACTCAAATACTACAGTAAAATCAAAAGGCCACATGCTTTAACTTGGTCAAATACATTTTATTCCAGTGTAGCCTGCTGTAATTGTACATTTTATTTTATTCTTCAAAATAAAGTCCGTGCTCCTGCCAACATTTTCAGTTTGTCCGTTTGTGAAATGAATTTGCTTTAAAAGACAAACGCACGTTTTGGAGCCACCTTGATTCAACAGCTCCCCTTTAATTCTGTATTTTGTAGTAAAGTCACTGTGATTTATTGAAAGTTGTTCATTTCACATCTCTGCAGTGGGATGGGAGCTGCAGTTGGGTTTGTTACCTACTTGATATCAGACTCGGTTTTCAATAAGAAAGAATAAACTCTGACATTTAAGGACGCTTTAATAAGATTTTCATCTTTTTTGCTGCATAAAACGTTTCAGGCCAAAAAGTTTGGAACATTTCAAATATTCAGACGACCACGAGCTCCTTCAACAAAAACTGTCGGTTAAAGAGAAAAGACGCAACAGTTTGATTTAAAACAACAACTTGTTTTTCCATCAAACTCTTTGTATCTGTTTGGGTCTTAGTTTTGCATTTGACAGAAATGAGTAAAGAAAAAACCGAAATGTTTTTGTTGAAAACTAGAACGCTGTGGGACATTTAAAAACCTGATTTATTGTAAACGTCTGTTTAGCTGCTGCGATTGCCAGAAGTTTGCAACTTGTCTTTAATTTCCAATGAAAAGGGTTTGTTTCCTGATCAAACTCCTTTTCCTTTTTACAATAAGTTAATCTAAATTATTTGGATTTAATGTTAATATAACTGAGACTGACTTACGTGATCAGCATTGACTGGTTCTCACGATCTGTGAAAGAAAGAATAAATGTCATAAAACCAGTCCTCTGGGCGTGCACGTCTCATGTTTACATACATTTTCAAAATGTTTACGCCTTGATCAAAATATAACACTCCTAAACTTATTTTTGCTTTGATTAATGCACTTTGTTTTGCAAAATGGAATGTTTGCAAACAGAATGTCCTCGTACAGAACTCTGTGGTACGCCAATATTGATTAAATAAAGCTACAGTGAGGAGAGCACAACCAGAGCAGGTATTCTCAAACTGGAAACCTTCCAAGCAGCCAGACAACTGGTTTTATTATACGCCCATCGAAGGGCTTCTGAATAACCTCTAGCTTGCTCAAGATAATTTAACAAAACTTCAGACACATCTGCATCATCATTAGATGGTGTTGCTGCGTGAACTTTTCATCACCTCACCTCTAAGGTCAAGGCCATAAATCAAGGTAAAAGGTTTTTACTTGTCTGGGCCATTGCTATAGATTACTGTGTTGTTGTTGTTCAGTACTTTGCTGATGGGTGTACAATGTGCCACATGAGGTACTCTTGTTTTTAATGTGGTCCTGGTCAGCAGCTCACCAGACTTTTTGAAAGTCTTTTTCATTTCCTGTTCTTGAACATTTTCAGGGAACAGTTTTTATCTCTGATCTTTAAATGATTCAATTCAATTCAACCTTTATTTATATAGGTTAGTCTCACTGAGCCTGGAGGACTCATTTACAAGAGACATGTTTTAAACAAAGAACACAGATGACAACTGTAAACAATCATAAAGAAAAAGCATTTGAAATGAAAAATAAATGGAAGAAATTGTATAAAATACAGTTGACACAGTTGATCATAATATTCTATTACAGAAACTTGAATATGATATTGGCATTACAGGAATGTCTCTAAATTGGTTTAAATCATATTTTTCTGATATATTCCACTTTGTAAATTTTAATAATGAATCTT